CCAGGGGTGAAAAAATTCTCCTTCCACTCTTCCTTTCCTGAATTGTTGATATTCTATTGGAACGCGATGAATTAATGACTTAAGGGTGTCTTAATTTCCAAGAGGCCTCAGAAAAAGAATTCCCTGTTAAGTATCTGAAGCTAAGTTTGATAGTACCCAGCTTATCACTTTCAAGCAGAGAAATACGATTATTTTTCATTAAACTGGGAGTGGAAAGAATTAAAACTTTAAGGACAATAACGGTCTCCTTAAATTGTTCCACTGTTAAACGAGCAAAAGCAAATAGGATTCTTTGTTGGTTTGCATCCTTTCGCTGAAGACGTTCTACCTCTGGAGAATCTGAGAGCTTTCTTCTTGGGTTTTAAAGTCAATAAAGGTTTTGTGTGAGTGCTTTTGATTTTTTTTTTGTAACTGAACAATAGTTACACAGTTACACAGACGCCAATAAAACTGTGTATTTATGGACTGCAGGAGAAAACTCACATAAACTCAGGGAGAACATGCAAACTCTACACACACACACACACACACACACACGCACACACACACACACACACACAGAAATATGGGTGGGGTCAAACCCATAGGTGTCAGGTTGATTTGCTACCCACTGAGTCAGATACAGTTCTGTTCTGAATATTTTTCTCAACCAACATGAATTATCTAATTTAGCATTTAGCACAGTGGGAAGAAAAGGTCCCTTTCACAATATCTTCCCTAAAAAACCCTCAAGATTTTGATGAAAGCCTGCCAAAACTTGATGATGAGCCTTCTGGACGAATGTTCTTGAGGGCCTGTATCTGCTTTTAGAGGCCTGATGATTTTCTCAATGTGGCTGTCAATTCTGTGGTCCTCTAGTGGTACTTATTAGGTGAAAAATCATTATTTTGTTCCAGTGGACTAATTTCTCTCTCCAAATACTCAGTGTGTCTCCAAAGCAAAGTCACCTAACATTGTGCTACTAAGCATAAAGTATGAAAACATCACTTTTCCAGTCTCTTATTGTTTTACACATATCCAGTTTCTGGATCTTTAATTATATACAGATTCAGCTTCTCTTTACCAAAACTCTGTTTAGTGTCCATGACATGCAAACTGATCTTTTTTTTTTTTTTTTTTTTTTAATGTTGATCACAAGTGACACTGATGCACAGAGCATTTAGGGATGTCCATGCAAAATCAACATCAGAGGCAAGCACAAAAAACTGGCACCTTGCTAGAGCAAAAACCGGGCAGTTAATTGAAGTGGTTTGACTCCATTCACCTTCCTGAAACGGGGATGCATGAAGCAGGGAATTCTGCACTCTGTGTGCTGATGATAAGCTTTGAATCGGTTTGACACAGAACCGATTCAATTTATCTGTGGCCTTGTTAAAAAAAAATAATCATCATTTAAAAATTAACATGACCACCAAGTATAAATCTTTTGAAATAGCATTTTTGTAATGTAATGCAACATAGCAGAATTTCAGTAGCTGCTTCTCCTGAACCAGATATGTCCAATGGAGCAGGAGGTTTCAAATTTTCACACTGCTTCCATCTGAACGTTTCAGTCATTTGAAACTGATTCTGGGACGTCGTATTCTTTTCTGCATCCTGTCTAGGGTATCTCCTGCCTCATGTTTCCTGAATAAGCTCCAGAATCATTGTGACCCTTCATTGGCTATACAGTTATGGAAAATGGATGGATGGACACGGTTTGCTGTTCTTGTGCCTCACAGAAAAGGCAAGGCTGAGTTTTTACTTGGCCCTGGCTGCAAGCATAACCTAAGAGGCTCCTTACAGGCTTATACCAGCGCCTCTGATGACATGAAGTGCATCTATGATCTGTGGTTTTAGATCTGTTTGTGTTCAGCTGCTCAGTGAAGGATATGCTAGCCTCATTAATCCCTTTCATCTACCTCCTGGTCCATCCCTGCACACACAGAGATCACTGCACACACAGATACCACTGCACACACAGAGATCACTACACACACAGAGACCACTGCACACACAGAGACCACTGCACACACAGAGATCACTACACACACAGAGACCACTGCACACACAGAGACCACCACAGACACACAGACCACTGCACACGCAGAGACCACCACGCACACAGACCACCGCACATGCAGATGCCGCTGCACACACAGAGACCACTATTTCCACCCCACTGCAGGCCTCTTGAGCTTGTGTATGCTATATAAAGCAAGGGGGAAACTAAATCAAACAAGCAGAAAAATCCCCCCTCCCATCCCTGACTAGCAGAAGTGGGTGAGGGACCGGAGCGTTCCACGCAGTCGGGCAGGGGAGTGACAGGCTGGGATGGTGCTCTGACATTTTCGCTCTTACCCCTGTTGATCGAGCGGATGCTGGGGCTTGATCCTTCAAAGGAGCCTCATCAAAGTGGACGTCCTCCCGCCTCAGATTGAAAGAGACCCCCTGCCCCCGGTTCGAAGCTCCCCTGATGTTTCTGTCATTCACATCCATTGTGATTATGAGGGCAGTGATTAAAGGCAGGACAAGTGACCAAGAATGTACTACAGCAAATACAGATTTGTCCAAAAAAAAAAAAAGGTATAGGCCTATGTTTGAATCTGGTTTGATCAGTTGGATTCACAGGAAGGTTTCTTCTCCAGAATGAAGGAGCCTGAAGCTGTGAGATTTGGAAACATACATTCAGTATTAGCAGCTAATCCCTCAGCATGAGGCCCCAGTGACACAGACATGCTGAATAAAGACTCCTGTAGCCTGTTTGCTTTGTGCAGACTGTTGCGCCTGAGCCAGGGGATCCAAATGACAGCAGGCAGAATCCTATGTGAGAATGGGGGTGTGAAAGTGAAAACGCCTCAGGATGCCCAGTAGGCCCTGACCCGGTTACCGTGGAGATGTGAAGCTGGCTGGCCTGGAGGGGGAGCTCTGGGGGATCGCCGGAGCTTGGCAGGGCGGCGGGAACCAGAGTAGAAAGGGCCCATGGTTACCGGGTCTGCAGGCTGCGGTGCGGACTGTTCTCCTTTTGTTTGGAAGGCGGAGTCATTTCTGATTCCAGAGTGGAGCTGATAGTGGGTATTGGCACTGTTAGTGAGTGATACAGCGAACTGCTACTAGCGTGCTTCAGTGTGGTTTTTTTTTTGTTGTTTTGTTGTGTTTTGAGGGGTAACGTAAATACTTCCATGAATTCCTTCAGCTTCAACGAGTTTGGCGAATCACAAAGTTGACATCAAACCCCTTAAGATTGATTGAATTCTCAAATTTTCATTCACCCTGAGGATGTCAGATGTCAGACATCTGCAGTCACAAAAAATAAAACATGTTAAGGTTTGTCTGTTCAAATTTGTTTCATATGAAGATAAATGACAGATAGAGGCATAAGTTAGGTGCCTCAATATTGCATTTCCCTCCAAAATTCCCCCCTTTAAAATATGGTATAGCTGTAGCTATAGGCATGGTTCATTTCAATGTATTGATGCCCCCCCCCTCTAATAAATGAGTGAGACAGGTGACATGTGAAATTAGACCCCCCCCCCCCCAAGAATGGGGACACAATCAGAAAATGGCTGGTAAAGGAGGGAGACAGCAGCTGATAATATGTCCTTCATGACACAGCTCTTTAATTAGTCACTGTTTCCTGGAACCCTATGGTTCAGCTTTCTCCCAGTAATTATCGCCCTGTCCGCCCTCCAACCTCTCCCATCGTGTCAAGAAGAAGCTGGATGAAGACATCACTGCTGTTGTTATATTTTCTTCCTTTGGCACTTAAAAACATTGGTAACACTTTACTTTAAGCAGTCATGTATAATGCATTATAGACACCTTCAGAACGCATTATATTGTATTCAAGAAGTATTATAAATTCAGTGAAAATTATTCATAAAAAGCATAACAGATTATAGCCATGTTTATTATTCATTATGAATGCTTTATGAAGCTCTCATCTATAATGTACTATAAATACCTTCATAATCTAGTATAAAGCATCCTTAATTCTTATACTAACCATTATAAAGGTATCTATAGTGCATTATAGATGAGAGCTTCTTAGAACATTCATAACGCATAATAAACATGGCTCTAATGTGTTGTGCTTTTTTGTTAAATTATAGCCATGTTTATAATACTTTATGAATGCATTATAATGCATTATTAAGGTATATATAATAATTATACATGACTTCTTTACATAAAGTGTTATCAAAACACTCATCTAATTCAAGTTATGTGAAAAAGGGGAACTGTGTGTTGACATAAATGTGAAATGTTAGCATTAACCTACACATAACACTTTAGCTTCTGGAACGTAAAGACAGTAAAGCGATTTTCAAGATCAAACGAGTCAGTTAAGCAGGCTGAGCATCCAGGAGTTTTACTGGGATTTCTTACCTGGTCGGTGTCTCTCAGGCTAACATGCACCACTGTCTCTCTGGCTTGTCCGGGGCCTGAAGAATTTGGGAACCCAGAGCAGTTTTAATTCAATTCATCGTAAATTCATAGCATCAAAATCAATTGTAGACTGTGGGAAAAAATAAAAGCGCTGAGTAATCGTGCAGTATTTTTCCATGATCAGATGGATACTGTCAACTGAAGAACAGTAGATTGGTTTTCTAGGCAAACCTCTTTGTCTTCCACTGTTTCAACTGTCTCCTGCTTCTAAAACCTTGCCAAAAATCCTTGGCAGGCCGCAGAGTCCACATTACGTTCAGACAGCATTTTGGTCGTGGTTGCTGCATTACCATTGTTAATTTGCTCTTAGTGTCACTCTTCTATAATCAGGGGTTCGTTTTATTATCCACTTCACAAGTCTGCCTTCCTGTCATCAGGACATGGAATAAAACAACTGTTGTTTTTTATGTATAGCTAAGATGCTGTAGAATTTTTCTTGCTTTAAATTGCCTTTCAGTAGGGCTGTTGTAAGCAATGGATTTATGGATTGCATTGGATTTATGGAGTGGAAAAAAAAGCTTATGGTTATGTAATTTTTGCTTGTAAAATTTGCTTTTATTAAGATAAATATCATTTATTGATCACAGAATGAGATTTGTTTGCATACTGCAGCAAAAGCATTTATGCACAGATGCAAACAAAGTGCAAAACAAAGACAAAGAAGACTCAGTGTAAACAGTCGACAAGCAAAATATTGTGCAAAACCAATTTCAGCATCGGAATTGGCAATAAATTAATACATTTTACTGGAGTACATTCTCTTGTGCTACACAGTAGGATAATAATGGCCACAGGTTTTTGTTATTCCTCATCTGTACAGATTGTTTTTATATGAGCGATACAGACAAAACAGGAAATGGAAGCAGGTAGTAGAGCTATTCTCCTCCAGGGACAGGAAGTGCAGCCCCAGCAGCAGGAAGCTGTAATAAAAGCAAACCTCACTGCAGGTCCTTTGAGCAAGGGGGTCATATGTGCAGTGAGCAGGGGCTGCTGCCGCATTCGCACTACAACATGTTCCTCACCCACTTCTGCGCCTCACTGCTTCCTGGTTCATGCCCGTCGTACTTAGATGGCCCTTATCCACACGGCACCCGCTTCCTGTCGAGTGGCCCTTCCTGTGATCTGCACCCACATCCATGGGCCACTGGCATGCATGCCGTCTTTTTGAGGCAGGCTTCATGATGTCACAGCTGTGGTTGAATTGGGAAAAGAGATGAATTGCAATGCGTCACAGAATTCAATTCCTTCACGGCAAGGCATCTCCAAGGTGTCTCCTTGGGTTTTTCCTGTACAAATGCGGACAGGGGGTATGGGTGGCAGTTTTTTCGCTCTTCATGCCCAACTTCGGAGCGTGTTTGTTTGATGGCAGCATACTTGTGGCTCTAATCACCTTGTAGCACAGATTTAACTAGAGTAGAGGGCTAAACGGCTGCCTGCCATCAGCCAGATAGGCAAACAGCCCCATAATGGCAACCCCGATCAGAAGACTGTGCTGCATGCTGATTGATCAGAATTCGTTGACACCAGCATCAGATTTTTTTCCAAAACTTTTACAGGGGCAGGTGCTGGAGAGGTAATGTAATGACGGTCCCCAGCACCACCAGTGCCGCATTTCCCAGGCCAGATGCTGTACTCCTTCTCCCATTATGACTGCAGTATTCTAGCATGTGCACATCTACAGCTTGAAGGCATGTTTGCGATACATAAGAGCAGCCTTAGCATCAAAAGCGCAGACCAAAGCTGAAAGACCTCTGCTGGGAATTAAAACGCAAGCCTTTGGACGGGAGAGCATGAGAATTATATTATTTTAGTCATTACTTTTGAAGCCATGTGATGTCTTAGCTGCAGGAAGAGCTAAGATGGTTCAAAGCTCTCCATTGCTTCCCACAGCCTAAACCACCTCCTGTTATTGGGCGGCCTGCTTCAGTTGTGTTTCCACATCTGAATTATTTTGAGCCGCTGTTTCCCATATTACTCTCTTGTTTCTCTTGGTATTGCTGAAAGCTTCAAAGTCATTCCGTGCACAATGGTTGGCTTTTAAACCCCTCCCCCACTGTGCATTCGCCTTTAACATTCAGGATGTTCGCTTGAGTGTCACAGGAAGTCAGCTGTCTTCTAAAATAAATAAAAAGTGTGATATATAAATGATTTGTCTTTGCAGTAACAAGTAGTAAATCAGACGATGTAAGACTTGGACACGCTGTTGCATGTTATGAATTTTCATGCTCTCCTGTCTGATGGTGGTTTGGACCTCAGTCACTCAGAGGGTAGAAGCACAGTCAGACAGCAATGGCAGTTTCGAATCGTCAACTAAACACTTAAGCATCAATTCCTGCTACATGAGCTAAATTTACTGTCCTGGGTATTTTTTAAAAGGAAAACACATTACAATTTCCTTTCTAATTCACAGTTCAGTCATTGCACATTGAAATGTTAGCCCAAATGATAACATCCATAGTCCAGTGTTCCTATGCACATCCTTTATCTTATGGTTACCATGCAGGGATGTACACAATACATTTAATTTAATTTAGGACTGAAAAGCCACACACTGGTGCTGACCTGACAAGAAAAAACTGATCATCTGTTTTCTACCCTCTATACCTTTGGCCCGTCTGCAGATGCCAGATGGCAGCAATTCCACGAGAAATCTTCTAAAACTGGGTTCTTGCCCTTCAGCCACAAAACATACATATACACACCCCCCCCCCGCTTGGCATTTCCATTTAGGTCTCTTCCCAAACGTTCCTCCAAACCAGATGTGGCAGTTGGAAAGAATGAAAATAAACCAATTTTAACCACTGTCTCAAAAGTGCTTATTTTTATAAATTATCTGGGACTTTCTGAAATGAAAGCAGATTACAGAGATGACTTGGATAGAGGTGACTTTGATATGATGTAATTATGGCCATATTTATTTAGAACAAAGTTATGGGCTGGTAGATAAAGCAATGAGGACGAGAGAGTCGCTGCACAGCTTTGGAAACGTGGCTCTGACAGCAGCTGTTCCTGTCTGCTGGCTTTAGAAAGATGCTCTCAAGCCAAATGTAGCTGAGCTAACATCTCACTCGCTTGTAGTTCATGGTCAGCAACACAGAAGGGACTATCCAAGCATTCTACAATACATTAAACCTTAGGAGAATTCTCTATGTTTACTGGAAAAGGAGTGATACAGATATGCCTTGTGATTTTAAAAGTTAAAGAACGTTTCAAAGAATGACAATTCATGGCCATAATTTTTTGTTTTAATTTGATTTTGGTTTTGCATGACAAACATATTTGTTGATCTTTTGCACACTGATGTTATCTTGTTTCAAGAGTGAAGGCGTCATATATTGACTGCCCATTCTTTATAGATTCTTATTTAAGAAATGCACTCCATCCATCTTCCATAACTTCTTATCAAGTGCAGGTCGCGGTCAGCCTGGAACCTGTACCCAGAGGGGGAGGTCATGAGGGAGGGGGACTTTCTGGATGGGATGCAAGCCAATTGACACACACTCATACACTATTGGCAATTTAGCGACATCATTTCACTCATCCACGTTTTTGGACTGTGTAAACCTACAAAAGCTTAAAAATAGGTTTTTGAGTGTATGTTTAAAGATGATTTAAACAAAAAAATAGAAGAATGACATTCTAAATGGTCTCAGATTATTGGTGCTGAGTTTATGCTGAATATAAGCAAGTGTTGCACTTTGGGGTACATGTTTTTTAGAGAGGTGAAATGTTTAAAAATGTCAAGGCATGTCAGGTCTCAATAGGGGCTGAGTGGCCTCAGACTCACGAGGGCTAAGAACTAACAACAATGAGAGTGTTAATTTGACATTTCTTTATAATACATGAAAATCTCTATAAATATAAAACTATTGTTTTTGTGGTCAGTCCTATGCTTAGGCAGGACCAAACTAAAGTAAACTTTACCCCTATAATATAACCTATAATATACCCCTGTAATATAATACACAATATAAATTATGCCACAGTTTTATAGTAATAATAATAGAAAATAAGAGCCGAGATCAGTTACAAGTGTTAAAGTGATTAAGGGAAAAGTGATTAATCTGGGAAGCTTCGTGTGATCTCGTTAATGTCCATTTGATGATGTCACAGCACCATCATGTCAGTCCTCTGATGGACGGTGTAGTAATATCTCTTATGGGCAATGAGAGACCTCAGGGCGCCATGTGTGCACACTGGCAGCATGACAGCAAGACTAAAGAAAAAATGTATATTTGATGGGTTATACAGTAAAACCGCACAGATGAAATATAGTTCCATTTGAAATGCCCATTCATTACGAATGTGATGGGTTTGGCTTTACTGATGTAGGGCCACGTTTCATATAGAAGCTTTGATCGACATTTTGAAGCAGTTGCACTGTGCAGCTGCCCTGTTCCATGTTTTCCCACCCAGAATGCTTGTGGGCAGCGTGATATGACAGACCAGTCAGGCCCAGCTGCTCTGTCACAGTGTGGGTTACTGGGATGAGCAGAGTGCTAGTTAAGAAAGCATGAGAACTAAAATTTTGTTTCCTTGTCCCCATAAACGTCCTTGCAAGGCCATTTTAACAATAATTTAATGATTGGACTTCCAATAAACTTTTGCCCGTGCCACATTCGCTTATTTTGTCAGTCATAGCTAAAAATTATAAGAGCAAGACTAAAATCAGTAACTTTATTTGAAGGGGCAGAAATATTATAATAGTACATACTGTATTAATTAACCAAAAACTACTAAGTGTTTGCTAGGTACTGATCCCATGTTCGTTCATCATTAATCAGTCATAATGGATCATGTATTTCATGCAGTTCATGATTTGTACTTGATTAGTAACTGAGTTACTAAGATACTTGTGCCCCCTCAAGCAAAGTGTTACTGTAAAATGAAACAGAGAAATTGTAAACGAGAATGAAAACTTTCACTTCACCTGCCTAATGTTAAGTGCATGTCAATGTCTCGGCCTGCAGGCTATGCAATAGATGTAACCTATTGCCAGCATTCTGACCAAGGAATACCTCAGGAAATGTGTACCTACCATTGCTAATTTGGCAAGGTTGTTTGGCAGTGACTGGCAGAAATTCTTAGCACTATTGGTAATCAAGTTGTAAGATTTTTTTTCCCTTATTACAAAGTAGACGTTGTTTAATTAGCTTAAAAAATGCTGTTCTGTGTTGTCTGAAAACATTGAACATTGAAAACATTGAACTGATTCACTTGATGTTTTGATTTAAGGTTATTTCAGCAGTCAGAGATTTGGACCAGAAGCATAAAATGGTTGAAGAATCTTAGACATGATATTGTTGTACAGTCTCAATTAAGCGTTTTACTCATGGATAACATTTACTGTGTAAATAGTTCTTTTTTCAACACAGTCAGTTCAACACAGTGAAGCTCAAAATCTTAAAGTGGTAGATGACTATTTTAATGCCATGCCTTGTAGGTAAACAGTAAATGCTTTTGGAAATTCTATCTAGAAATGTGTGTGTGTGTGTGTGTGTATGTATATATGATTAGATAGATAGATAGATAGATAGATAGATAGATAGATAGATAGATAGATAGATAGAATGGAATGGAAAGGGATGCAAAAAGCAGCAGGAAGAAGTAAAAACAAAAAAAATATATTTTGGTGTCAGCATGGAGGAGAGAGGGGGGGGAACAAGAGAGCCTGGTTTTACACGAGGGCTGCCACTGCAAGCTGGGCCAAATACTCAATCATATACAGTGACTGTGTGCAACAGATGTGCTGAAGGAGTGACTTCTCCCTGACTTCTCTCTGCCCCAGGACATCCACGCCTCCCTGCCATCTTATAATATGACACAGAGATATTAAACAAGAGGATAATTATGCCCTTGGGGTAGTTGGGGTACTTTTTTTTTACTAGCCCCCCAACCTTCCATTTAATAAATAGCTGTAATTTTTAAGCACAACAAATACAGTTGAAACAGTGGGGAAGATGCGAATTTGTTTGTTGCTTATGCTGTACTAAGCTTTTATACAAGTATTCCATTATGTTTCATCTCTGCATTCCTGCATTATACCCTTGTGTATTCAGCAATCACGGTGTATTTAGACATTATACACACATATGTCATCAAAGACATGTTAGAGTGCTGTGTAAAGTGACCTCTTTCCATTTCGTCTCTGTAGGATGGCTCCAAGCAAAAGCAGGTGCGTAAGAAGACCGTGTCCTTCAGCACTATGCCCAACGATCGCAAGATCAACAGCACAGCAGCCTGCATGGCCTTCATGATGGAGGGCTGCGAGATGAAGAAGGTTCGCTCCAACTCTCGCATGTACAACCGCTACTTTCTGCTGGACCCGGACATGCGCTGGCTACGATGGGAACCCTCCAAGAAGGACTCGGAGAAGGCAAAGCTGGAGATCAAGAGCATCAAGGAGGTGCGGCTGGGGAAGAAAACCCCAGTGCTCCGCAGCAATGGCCTCTCTGACCAGTTCCCTGAGGAGTGTGCCTTCTCCATTATCTATGGAGACAATTATGAGTCCCTGGATCTGGTGGCCAGCACAGCAGATATAGTCAACACCTGGGTGATGGGTCTTCGCTACCTAGTCTCCTATGGGAGGCACACAGTAGACGTTATTGAACCCAGCCAGGCCAGCTTGAGGACCTCCTGGATTAGTTCCTTGTTTGAAGCAGCTGACATGGAAAAAAAGGGACACATTGACCTCCCCAAAGCCACCCAAATTATCAGGGGCTTGAACCCTGGGATGAAAGCATCACAGATACAGCTGAAGTTTAAGGAGCTCCAAAAGGTTAGAGATCAGCATGGGGAGGAGATAACAACTGACGTATTCACAGAGGCCTACTGTGAATTGTGTACCCGACCTGAGATCTTTTTCCTCTTGGTCCAGTTCTCCAGCAACAAGGAATACCTGGACTGTAAGGACTTGATGCTCTTTGTGGAGGTTGAGCAAGGGATGGAAGGGGTGACTGAAGAGATGTGCATGGAGATCATACACAAATATGAGCCATCTGCAGAGGGTAAGGAGCGAGGGTACCTCTCCATTGATGGCTTCACGCACTACCTCCTCTCATCTGAGTGCCATATATTTGACCCTCAGCACAAATTTGTCTGTCAGGACATGACACAGCCTCTCTCGCACTATTATATTAATGCCTCACGCAATGCCTCCCTTCTCGAAGACCACTTCTGGGGTTCCTCAGACCTTAATGGCTACATCAGGGCACTAAAGATGGGTTGCCGCAGCGTAGAGGTTGTGGTTTGGGATGGCCCTGACAATGAACCTCACATCTACGTGGGAAATTCAGTTACCTCTCAGCTAGCCTTCTGCAAGGTCCTGGATGTCATCAACCAATATGCCTTTGAAAGCTCAGAATACCCACTGATCCTCTGCCTGGTGACTCATTGTAGCATTCGCCAACAAAAGGTCATGGTGCAGCACATCAAGAAGATCCTTGGCGACAAGCTATACATGAATCCCCCTGACCCCAGAGAACATTACCTGCCCAGTCCTGAGAAACTGAAAAGGAAGATACTCCTTAAAGGAAAGCAGCTGCCTCCCAGTCACCCAGATTCTGAAGGGGATGTCACAGATGAGGATGAGGGAATGGAAATGAGCCGAAGATTTGGCACAGATGAGAGGGACCAGCTTAATGGAATGAGCTGTAAAAAGCTGAGGCTGTGTAAGGAGCTGTCCAATCTAGTTACTTTGTGTAAGTCAGTGCAATTCAGAGATTTTGAAGTCTCAAAGAGATGTCAGAAATATTGGGAGATGTGCTCTTTCAATGAAGTTGATGCTAACAGATTTGCTAATGAGTCCCCAGAGGACTTTGTGTGCTTCAACAAAAGGTTCCTCTCTCGGGTGTACCCAAGCCCCATGAGAATTGATGCCAGTAACATGAACCCACAGGACTTCTGGAAGTGTGGATGTCAGATTGTGGCCATGAATTATCAGACACCTGGCCTAATGATGGACCTCAACTTGGGCTGGTTTCGCCAGAACGGAAATTGCGGCTACGTGCTCCGGCCTGCGATTATGAGGGAGGAGGTGTCCTATTTCAGTGCTAATGCCAGAGACTCTCTTCCTGGGGTATCGGCTCAGTTGCTGCACATCAAACTGATAAGTGGCCAGAATCTACCCAAGCCTAAGGGATCTGCTGCTAAAGGTGATGTTGTGGAGCCCTATGTCTATGTGGAAATCCATGGGATCCCTGCTGACTGTGCTGAGCAAAGGACTAAAACTGTCTCCCAGAATGGGGACAACCCTGTTTTTGAGGAGAGCTTTGAATTCCAGATCAACCTACCGGAGTTAGCGGTGCTCCGCTTTGTGGTACTGGACGACGACTACATCGGGGACGAGTTCATTGGACAGTACACCATTCCTTTTGAGTGCCTGCAGCCTGGATACAGGCATGTTCCACTGCAGTCCTTGACTGGGGAGTTCCTTGCCAATACCACACTCTTCGTGCACATTGCCATCACGAATCGACGGGGTGGGGGCAAGGCCCACAAGAGGGGTTTGTCAGTGAGGAAAGGGCGGAAAGCAAGGGAGTATACCTCTACCAAAACAACTGGAATCAAAGCAGTGGACGAGGTCTTCAGGGCATCCACGCAGCCACTGAGAGAAGCTACAGACCTGCGAGAAAACGTGCAGGTATTGAACTGGCTGCTCTTTGCATGTTTTTTGTTTCACTGTAAGGCAGACTTGAGCATCTACGCATAGCCTGATATTTTCCCATAGGTGTTTCCTTTTTCTTTCACTTAATGAGCAGAGGAACTAGCTTATATTCCTGTACTCTCTAAGCAGTGTTTCCCAACAGTGTCCTTGCGTACTTCCAGACAGTCTTTGCTGATTGTTGAACCAAGCACAAGCAATCAACCCAAACACCAAATCCCTGGTACAAGGGTGTTTGGAGCTGGGAGGGAACAATTGTGTGGACTGTCTGGGGTCCCCGAGGACTGGGTTGGGGGACACTGGCTTAGAGCTAGACCTGGTGAAAACAATGCTGCACTGAGTTGAAAAATCATTACGATAAAGAAATATACAGTAAAATCCCGTTATAGTGGAATATCATCTATAACGGACGAGGTCCGCTGGTCCCGGCCGTGCGCCTTTAACAACATGCAGAAAAAGCATCGGATATAGCGGACTCGCATAAAACGGAATTTCACTTGTAACGGACAAACTATTTGGTCCTCAGGGCCACTTTTAGCTGTAGTTTTGTTCAGCTATAACAGACATGCAGGCTCCACCTACAAGGTGCGTGGCGTGCCGGTGATATCCAGCGCAGATACGTACGTAGATGGGATTATTAACAATCATGCATCTGGTCAGGTGAAGTTGGATTACTTCATGTAAAATATAATAATCTATACCACAAGTGTGTCTGCTGAGGTGTGACATGAGTAAATGGTGTCCTGTAGTTCTGGGCATACAGCAACTCTGGATATAACGGACTGTTTTGCCAGGTCCCTTTAAGTCCGTTATAACTGGATTTTACTGTACTCCAACTTTATAAGTCTTTGAAAGCCCTGTGCCTGTCTCAGACAGTTTTTCTGCACATCCATTTTTCAGTACACATAAATTTTATATTTGTCAGATTTTTTTTTTTTTTTTTACATAGTACAGATATGTTTAGATCACACTGGATTCAAGGTAAGGATGGGCTGATCCACATTTTTTCAGTTCCAATTTGATTCTGACACACAACTGCCGATACAGATACAGATTCTGATACAAGAGCTCTTTTTACTTTGTTATACTCTATATATTATTTTTTAAGCTATTAAATACAGATGGAAAAAATGTATGACAAAAAATATTTAATTAGGCTACTACAAACATACATAACGTACTGTTCCACCTCATTTGTACGTCTTGTTTTAAGCGTTTTTGAGGCATTTGCAGTTCAATATGAATATCTTCAAATCAAGTATACACAAAAGGTGAATGCTTTAAAATTTTAACACAAATTTTCTTCCATTGGCGTCAGCTCATTTACACTTTGGTGCGATGGCAGCCCCTCTTGTATCACAAGCTGCAGCGAGTTCGTAAAACAGTCCAAGTTAGCAAATCATCCATTGCTTTTTTTGTCTCGCATGCGTGCCCGTTAAACGTTATTCGACCTCTCAAAACTTTATTTTACAAAGATTGCAAATCGCTGTGCTACTGGTTTCTGTTAAAAGCGTAAAATACTCCCAGATCGTCACGTCTTACCTTACGCTCCTCGTACTGCGAAGGGTATGCGCATGACGTCACAGCAGGCGGAAATCACTGTACTCACACCCACTGAGTAGCTAAAAAGACTTGTTAGCGTTCGATTTGAATGCCGCTAAAAAACACATGTAAAATGGGAAAGAGCTGTCGTGTGATTGATTGTACAAATAGATTTAACACGAAATAGGAGCTATCTTTTTAGAGATTGCCAAAAACTAAATAAGTAAGTATAGGACGTGGATCGGTCACGCATGGCCGATACCCGATCCGTCAAATAGGTCTGGATCGGCACCGATACTGATCCGAATATCGAATCGGTGCATCCCTAATTCAAGGTAGGTACATTTCATATTTAAGCCTACTGTTTTCTACTATGAGTGGTAACTTAACTACTAGCAGGTAATTATGAGAAAAAACTTTTCTTAAATTAATGATTTAAATGTATGTGTACCTTGAAGGTGATGTTTTTTCTACTCTGATTAAATTGAAGTGTAACATTATGCCGTCTCCCCTACGGGTTTGAGAATTTGACATTTGCAGTTTCAGTTCTTCATGAGTTGGCTGTGAACAATTAAACTGGAATATTTTTGGACCTCGTCGAATGATTGCTGAAACTCATAACCCATAAGCCAGAAACAATACTGAAAATGATTTAGATCACGTAAAGATATTAAAACATATAAATATTAGTATTATTTAACATTTGTTAGTGTAAGTACGTAATGCATACTGTAATTAATATTAAAAGTTAGTTTTGGCATTTAAAAAAAAAACTGCGGGATCTACGGATCTTGGCTTGGTTCTGCCGTGCACCTTTGTCTCAGCAGCGAGCTTCATGCACGTGTTAGCTGTCCTAGATGTAAGATCTGTTCCAAATAAACTGCATCACTATCCCTTGAAATGCATTAGAAGTAAAATATCAAAACTTATGAATGAATATGTTTCTGCTGAGTGTCATAAAGAGACTTTTTAAGCATTCATGACAGAATGGGTTACTGAAGTCAATGTTATTGTCAGAAATGGGGGGCAAAGGGCAAAAATGGTGCAAGAAATCGTAGAAGGCCCCTAAAAACCGAATGGAGAAAAAATTTGGCCCCAAGATTAAAAAAAATATTTACCAGTTTAGGGCAATATTCTAATCCTACATTAAGCCATAATTTTGTTTTTATTCCTTTAATTTAATTTAAATTTCTGTCTCTAACACACACTCAACACAAACAGCACAGTTGTTCACATTATGTGCGTACATAACTTAATGTAACATGTAACTGTAACTACATACTACTATGTAACACTTTTACGATACCTGGCAGAAGCCAATTTTATTTTTTAATAAAAACAAATAAGCCGATCTCTGCTAGGGGCTTAGCTACGCAAAGTCTGCTTACCCATGGCCTCGCCACCCACCCATCAGCCACTTTTACAGTATTTACTCATGTTGGCACAAGGTGATGATTACTGTATGCATTTTAATGTGGGCTCTCACATTAAAAACAACCTTCATGTATTTATTACTGTTTTCAAAAAGTGCCCCCAAAATTTTGTAAATGCCCCCATGTTTTAGACAGTGGGGGCTTCTAAAAACTGCCAGCCAAAGATTTTTTACATTTCCTACACTGGTCACCGTGGTTTATTTTTCACGTCATGTATATTGGATTTTTTTTGGTTGTTTTTTTTTTTAGGAGAAGTAGAAATAAATACATGAATTGATCTTAAACCACTGATTTTACACACTAGTTAGTTCAAGGTCAGAATTGAAAAATGTGTTTATACATTATGGAAAGGCCATTTTAAAGTGTCCCTGATGCTTTTAGGAAATTGAAAGTGTGCTTTATTTGTCATTTGCACGACTACAGGTCCATTCTTTCATACATCCCCTCTTTGACACACACGGGTAAGAAGGTAAGAGTGAAGCCAGGGGTCAACACTGCTGGAGCATTTCAGAGTTAAGAACCGTACCCAAGAGTCCAGTAGAGATGTGACTCTGCCAAAGACAGAATTCAAACCAGCAACCTTCCCATCACCACCACAGAGGCCTGACCCACAGTCACACACTGCACACACACTTCCCCCTGAATGCCTCAGCATGTCCAACTGCCGACACACAGCAGCCCGATCCGTGAACCTCTGGGGATCCTGAGAAGAAATAAATGTTCGTACTGGAGGGTCCATCTGACAGTCTTTCACTTGGGTGGCTGCTCTGGTTTAAATTAAACCTTTTCGAAAAACCAATTGAAATAAGACAAACAAACCGAATGGGTGACCTTTTGGCCGGAGGCCAGTTGGATGAAAAATGAAAGTTCACATTCGGTCCCCTGATGGATGTCCAGCTTCTCTCACCAGCCAGCTCTGTTGTAAGGTAGCCTGTGAAGTTGCATCACATTCTGAACATAAGACACTGGGGCGTACAGATACCACTAAGCCTGAAAGCTGCCGTGAAGAACTAAGGATCTAAGGATCTCAATGTCCGTTCTGTTTTACTCAAAGGGCTAATATTTAAAATAGTAGAGGCCCTGCAAGCTTCTGTAACAAATTTGATCATTTTGGTTTTTTTTTGTCATGTAATTTATGGTCCTTGTTGCTTTTATTGTCAATGCCAGGTTGATACTGTACTGTTTGCAATATTTTTGTATCATATAAAAAAGATGCTTGAAGATAATGATTAGTGCAATTTAATGGTTTATGTAGACAAACCAGCATAAGAAAGCAAGTGCATACTTACTTAGCTGTAGTTGTTTCGGGTTTAGACCCAAGTCTGTTGGTCTTATTGTCATACCTGTAGCCAAACTGCAGAGGTGGCAGTTATGTGGACCTGACAGCATTTGTCCTAATTAATTGTCAATATTGGGGAAGTTTGTCACGCAAGTGATGCATTACAGACAGGGGTGGAGAGTGCAGGTCCAAAAAGTAAAAATCCAGACCAAGGTTTTGTTACAGTCACAGAGGACTCAACTGGTTGGTTGAAAGAAAATCTTGGTCTGGATTTGTACTTTCAGAACCTGAACTTTCTACCTCTGTCTGCAATGCATCACTTTTGAGACTGACTTCCCCAACATTGTTAATTGTGTGCCGTTAACATGAATGCTGTTTACTCAGAGTATATTTAACTTTGCCAGAACAGCATGCCACTTCAACCCTGGTGAAGATTCCAGCTAGTATTTGAAACTTAAATGCAAAATGACGGGCAGTTTTTTGTGTCCCTGGTCACAAGCCCTTTTGCTGAAGCCAGGGTGCTCAGATTTAAGCCAATGCGCATCTAATATAGAACCTTCTCCTAAGCACCCACCCATAACACTCCCCTCTTTGTGTATCTGGCCGAAATTCTGAAAACCTTTCCAAGGTCAGGCAAAGTCCGCGGTGCGGCTCCGGCCTGCTCAGAGGAGCGGCTGGTGGGTGTCTCAGCTTGCGGCTGCCGACTCTGAATCGCCGAGCCCAAGGCCCTGGAACGCAGCGCTCCACATAATGCCGTCTTTCTGTCCTGCTGGAGCTCCTTGTGAGAGGCAGTCCTCTTTCCCACGCTGTAGGGAAAGCTTCCAAAGAAAACTCCGGAACACTGCTTCCCCTTCTGTTTTTTTTTTCTCTTTGCCTGTATCTTCTTGTGGAGGTACTGGAAGGTACTGAGGGCTGAAAGAAGGATTGTGTTTTTTGTTTTTTTTTTGCTCTACGGTGGCACAGAGTTGTGTTTCAGTTGGGGCCCAATGTGGGAGGTAGAGACCTGTACAGTCCGTTGAATTCGCTGCTGTAAAAGACGCAGGCCGTGGACACGAGTCGTTTCGTGGTTTTGTAGGGCTAATGCTTTCAGATATTATACATCACTCATGATACATGGCAAAATTAGAGGTTTGTTCTGGTGTAAACCTGGAAACATAGTTTAAGTTCATTAAGGGGCATCCAGTAGATAGCCAATGTTGAAAAGAAAATGTTATTAACTGCCATCCTGTCCAGGGTGTTCCATGACTTATGCCCCCCCTCCGGACTGGCTTCAGGCTCAATGTGACCCTATACTGATGGCCGGTTATGGGAGATAGATAGATGGATGGAATCTTGTTATCAGAAATTAGTCTTTCCCAGATTATGGTCTTTTTTTCTCTTATATCTCTTACCTTCTCTCACCCACTTATCTTGATGCATACTTTGCAGTGCTTGTTGTTGCTAATGCAGTGCACTTTTTTGGGAAAAATCTGTCCATAGCAACACAGGCATGACTGCCGAGCAGAGTGCAGAATAGACACGTGTGAGTAATCCTTCATCACGTGGCATTGGCATTCTAGCCTTCCACTCCTTCATCACTGGTATGAATAAAACTCTCCCGGTCAACGGAAGTGTCAAGGCCGATCATATAACTCTTCCTGAATCATTGCTTTTTCTCGCTCTCCTTTTAAGAATGCCATGGTGTCCTTCAAAGAGCTGTGTGGGCTGACGCCGGCCGCCAACATGAAGCAGTGCATTCTGACGGTGTCCACCTGGCTAATGAACAGTGAGCGCACCCTGCAGGTAATGGTGGACCTCGACGAGGACTACCCTGCCATGGAGGCCCGCGGACCCGTCCCGGAGCTGCTGCGGAAGGTCCTCACCGCCTATGACACGGTGAGCCCTGCTCCTGCTTCCTCTTTAATCTGCTCTCTCTCTGTGACGGGGAGTTGCCCCGTATCCATGCTACTGTAGCTGCTCTCGCCACCAGTCCACGAACGCTGCCGCAGGTGGTCGTTTTAACAGTGGGGAAGAATCTGGCTTTGCTGTGGATGCCTTCAAAGCTTGGGAGCGTGAGGCCCGGAAATGGGAAGTATTCGAGACTGCTGACTTCAGTTATTTTTTCCAAAAATAAAAAAATAAATAAAAGAACCAATTTCTAGCAGATCTTGCACTCTAAAAAATTAAGCCACTTGAAATTAATTACATAGATGTCATAACTTTATAATTAAAACAGGAATACAATGGAAAAATGTATAATAGCACTAATTTTAAGTTAAAATCATATTTTTAAAGGAGACTTTATCAGCACTATTTGCTAAATGTATCTCAGAGGTGCTGATTCTAGTCTG